GGGTGGGTTGGGGCCGCTGCCAGTGCTGGCTTTTGCAGCGCACATGTGAACCCGCAAAAGCGCGCTTGCAGAAAGCGGCAACAGCTTTGCATGTGTGCCAGCCGCCAGACGCACAGCGCCGTGCCCGGTCGGAAGGAGAAACGCATGGCTGTGCCTCGGCGTGCGGCGGCTTCCGCCCGACGCCACCTCACCTCGGGACGTGCTGCGCGCCGAGCACCATGATCACCGCGCGGCCGTTGCGGTCCAGTCCCTGGATAAGCACCTTGTTCTGCGCCAGCTCGTTGGCCACCTCGCAATCCAGGACACGCCCCTGGGGCGCGTACTGCGCACGCCACGCAGCATGCGCGGCGAGGTCGCGCGCGGCGCGCGCTGGCTCCCAGTCGCGGCCGGAGAGCCAACTGATGCGAGGCAGCGAGGTAGTGGGCGTGTGTGTGGTCGGACCGCGTGCAGATGGGCGGGGGTGGGACAATGAGGGGAGGGGAGGGCAGGGCGCGAACGCGCGAGCTGGCTGGTGCCTGTGATTGCGATGGCGGCCGGGCGAACGCCCACGGTCGCACACGCTCAGAGCTGAGCGTGTGCGGCAAAGCGGCTCAACCATGCTCCTTGCAGTGGCGGGCTTCAAATCCTGGAGCGCATCGCAAAACTTTCCACGTGTCCCCGTTCTCACCGCCTGACCTGCCCGGCCGTTAGCGGCTCCTCCCCGCCGACCCGCAGCAGGCGGTCCACCTCTGAGGCGTCATCAAGCAGGGCGCGCGTTGTGGCGATCACATCCGCAAGCTCTTGCTCGTTTGCAGGAGGCGGATTTGCGACCGGGGCCGCCTTCGCGGTTGAGAAGAAGCCCATTTATTGATGCGTCCCGATTGTCGAATGCACTAATTCACCTAAATACAGCTATGAATGGTTTGTGTTTAGGTCGGTCTGACGATGTGATGGGAGAAGCGCGTCGGCAAGAGTGATGGGGCCCGTCCGGCGGTTCTTAGTGCGGGTACCACAACAGGTCGGGCACACGATGTGCTTTGCAAATTCACCATTTATATCCTACCTAATAGCAAATTTCAACGCATCTACGCCGGTGTGCCCCCTCCAGTCTTGTCTGGCCCGATGCAGATGCATCGTGGCCAGCTGTCCTGCAAGCCGTGCAGTGTACCCGCCACCGTAATACGGCACCTGATCAGAGCACCACCACCCAAGCAGCCTGCCAAGATCGCCCCTAGCAACACCCCTAGAAGGTCCACTCTTGTACCGCCGAACCATCCCATCGCCACAATAGCGGCGGAACCAGGTCATGGCTCAGGTGCGGGTGCAACTAAGACATCGTTGAAATACAAGGATGACTGCCTCAATTTCGCAGGATAAGCAGGTCATCGTGCCGCACCGCTGTTTTCCCGCCATGATGCGCAAGACACCTGGCGACAAGGGTCCCTGCGTCGAACGGTCTGCCCCTCCACCACAGCAGCATGATTCAGGTGTGCTGAAGAGGTGTGCTGGAGCCTCAAGCACATGGTAGGTCATGCTATGCAATGATTGCAAACGCGCCTTAGGTACAGGCTGTACCAAGGTTCCCGTGACCACAGGCATCTGCGTGTCGGTAGTGGCCCGACAACTGACGCGTTGGTATACCTCATGAGGAAAAGCTTGTAATTTCTTTACCACAGGGATGACTGCGCCAGTCTCTGCCGGCATCTTTTGGAGCGGGTTGGTGCTCTTTGGCTTGGCGCACCTGCAGCATGGCCTAGGTTGCACTTGAAGTGGCGCACAATTTCCGCTATCTGGCATCCAACGTCATCAAACCGATGCGATTCCCTTGCCGTTTGGCGCCTTGCTGTGCTCAGGGCCCCTTCCGGCTGATCCGCTGACCACGACGACGTGTACTTTTTCAGCGATCTCTCGGAACGATTTCGTCGCTCAGATGAACCATCGACCACAAAATTGTATTTTCACCTCAAGTCAAGTTGAAGTCTACTACTTGCGACGTTCCTCACCCAACTTGGGACAATGAAATCTTTCCACAGCACACGGCGGCCTCATGAGACTGTGGCGTCCGCAAGGGGTCCTTTTAGATCGTTCCTAGTACCCTCATTACGCATGCTTGCCCGGCGTACCACCTGCGCGCACCCCGACAGCCGCAATGATGACAACAGTTGTCCAACGCCATCGCCGCCGGCCGCCGATCCTGAGGCCAAACTTAGCCGCTTCGGACGCCACTTCGGCGGGCGCTTCCGGCTCTCCGACCTGGTCTCCTCGGCGCCGCGCGTGCGCGTACGCACGAGCGCATCGCGGCAGCGCCACGAGCTGCTGGAACTGGCCGTTTTGAACGCGCGCCTCGCGGGCGGCGTGGAGCCCTGGGAGGCGCGCGCGCGGCTCGAGGTGCTGCGCAACCGCCGGCGCGCGTGGGACGCGGTCTACGACCTTGTCAGCGGCAGCGACGCTGCCGCGACGCTCGAGATGATCGAGAGCGCAGCTGAGCAGGTGGGGTCGCAGCCGCAGGTCGGGAGGCGCTATTTCTGCTCTGGACCAGCTTGTTCTGGTTGGCTGATAGAGCGTCAGGCAGCTTGCAAGGGGGCCTGAGGCCATGTGCTTGACATAACGCTGACCTGTAGCGGCACAACACAAACATTCGTGCAAGTCGGGGCACTTTTCCGCATGCTGGCACGCAACCCGCTTTATGTGCGTACACCAGGTGGACGCCCTGCTTTCTGAAAATGAGGCCGGCCGCACCTCCGTGAGAGAGCTGCGCACCCAGCTGTCCGCGCTGCAGCGACAGGTGCAAGAAGCCGGCGAGAAGCTGGCCGCGACGCAGGCGCGCGTGGACGGCAACCTGCAGCGCGTGGAGGCCCTCAAGCGTGAGGCGGCTACGCTTGAGCGAGCGCGCGCAGCAGCCAGCGCCCCTGCGGCCGCAGCCCCCGCCGCCGCCGTAGCCACGGCCCCGAGGGCAAAGCCAGGGCCGCCACCGTCCGCGGCTGCGGCGGTCACGGCGCTTGCGGCGGCACGGCGGCGCTCAAGGGGGCTGTGCGCGAGCCTGGATGCGGAGCCGGACCTGAAGAACCACTGGTACCCCTGCGAGTTCAGTTCCCGCCTCACAAAAGACACCATGGTCCCCTTTGACCTGTTCGACGAGCCCTGGGTGGTGTTCAGGGACGAGGCGGGGCGGCCCGCCTGCATCCGCGACGAGTGCGCGCACAGGGCGTGCCCGCTCAGCGCGGGGCGCGCGGTCGGCGGGCAGGTGCGCAGTTGGGCACTGGCGGCGTGGGGCCTCAGTGCCTGCTAACTCCTGCACGCGTGGTGGCATGGCAGCAGCCTCAAAAGGGGAGTTGTAGGTTCTATCGGCAGCCTCACTGCGACTTTACGCCCCCACACTGCTGCAGTGATTGTTGCAGAGCTCATGCAATCGCGGCTGAACGACCGTGCTTGCAGGCAGCCCAAGGGTTTGGATTGAACACCCCCCTGCCCACATCCACGCATGCGATGCCTAACTCCCCCCTTCCGCCTGTGCAGTTGGAGTGCCCCTATCACGGGTGGCGCTTCAACGGCTCTGGTGGCTGCACGGCCATGCCCTCCACCATCCACTGCCGTGGCGTGCGCGTGGCGGCGCTGCCATGCGTCGAGAGGGACGGCTTTGTGTGGGTCTGGCCGGGGGAGGGGGAGCCCGGGGAGGTGCGTGGACCAGAATTTAATTGCAGGGAGAAAAGCTGCCAATTTTGTGATTGCCTGGCAGAGCATAAAGGGTGCCTTTTTTTTCGCAGACGATTCTTGCCCGGCCTGGGCCCCGGCTGGGGAAAGCATTGTGGGGAGTTTCGGTTGTCGCGCCGCAACGCGCTTCCGCCAGGGCAAACATCTTGGGTTGCACGTTGCGCATCTGGGGGCAGCGGCCATTGCATAAGATGACTGCCGGCCTCACTCCAGGAAGACACAACACCCATTTATTCTCCAGCGAACCTTGACCCGTCAACCTCGCTGTCCCATGTGATGTGTACCTGCCAGGTCCCTTGCACCGCGCTGCCGCCACCGGGGTACCAGGTGCACGCGGAGATTGAGATGAGCGTCCCAGTGGAGCACGGTGAGTGGGGGGCACCCGATGGGCGGACAGGACAGCCGGCTCCTGCATCTTCAGGCAGGCAGGAGGCCGACATCCATGCGCCCTTGACCGTGCTAGGCGCTGCACACGGTGGTTGAATGCATGCATGCGCCCCACGGTGGGGCGCATTGCTGCGGCAGCATACCCGTGCAAGTTCGCTGTCCGCCAGCTCTGCACCCGGGTGCACAGCTTAACCAGCACAGCCCTCAAACCCTAATTTCACCCTGAACCATTCACGCCTGGCCTACTGCTGCCCTCATTCTCAACCAACAGGCCTGCTCGTGGAAAACCTGCTGGACCTAGCCCATGCGCCCTTCACTCACACCTCCACCTTTGCCAAGGGCTGGCCAGTGCCGGCACAGGTCAAGTTCAACGCCGCGCAGCTGCTGTCGGGGGCTTGGGACCCCTACCCCATCGACATGGCCTTCCACCCTCCCTGCATGGTGGGTGGGCTGTGCACAGAGGTTGCATCACGCCGACTAGCAACCCCGGCGCGCTTCGCCGCTTCCCCACTGTGTTTCTTGATCAACATGACTGCTTGGGTGCGGAGGGTTGCGGCTGACGACGCATTCCCCGCCGCACCCCTGGCAACAACTGCTGCAGACCGTGAGCCGCATCGGCCTGGCGCAGCCTGGCAGGATCATGCGCGGCGTCAGTGCAGACCAGTGCGAGCGCCACCTGCACCAGCTGCACGTATGCATGCCTTCCAAGAAGGGGCAGACGCGCTTGCTCTACCGCATGAGCATGGACTTCATGGGCTGGGTGCGGCATGTGCCAGGAATTGACAGGCTCTGGAAGTCTGTCGCCGCACAGGTATGTGGTCGTGGCAGACAGCTTTGGGTACTACTTGGCCCCCGGTCTGGGTTCACAGAGGAAGAAGCAGCACCTCCAAAGCCAACAGCATTGCCGATCATTAATTAGCCATCAGCTATGTGTGTGCTTGATCATGGGGGCGAGGTTGAATCTCCCAGGTTGGCAGCTTTCTGCTTCGTGTGAGCAAAGCGCAATGAAAATGCAGATTGCACCCCAATTCAGGATTACGCCACAAAATGGCGGTCATTCATTCGATGAAACAACAACTTGGCCCAGCGTTCAACCCATTAGCACCTGCACTGGCGCTGTTTTGCACGCTGCATGATCCACCTGCAGGTCCTGGGAGAGGACCTAGTGCTTGTGGCGGGGCAGCAGGACAGGCTGCAGCGGGGCGGGAACACCTGGCAGACTCCGGTGTCCTACGACAAGGTGGGTGCCGTGCTGCCTGTGTGTGTGTGATTGACAGGGAGTGTGTGTGTGCGAGCGTGCATGCGTGCGTGCGTGCGTCTGTGTGTGTGTGTGTGTGTGTGTGTGTGTGTGTGTGTGTGTGTGTGTGTGTGTGTGTGTGTGTGTGTGTGTGTGTGTGTGTTGTTGAGGGAGGCGGGGTGAGCCTGTGGCGGACATAGGCGACCTGGCAGGGTTTGAATACGCGGGCCCGCTCGATGCTGGCAGCTGCTGGACTGGACCAGATTGGATTGAGGTCCGTTGAAAGAGGAGCTGGTTGTGCTGATCAGGGTTTCTTGGGGTGGGAGTTCTGCCTCTCCATCGGTTCTGTCCCGGGTAATGTTACATTCGCATTGATGTGGGAACAACTGGAAGCTTGTAAGAGCGCCTCTCGGGCTCGACAGAGTTCCCAGCCAACCCCCGCACCGCACTTCAAACACTGTAGATCGGCGTCCGCTACCGCCGCTGGCGCAATGCCGTCGCAGCAGGCGAGTACCCAGATGGCTGCGCGCACACTCGGGCCCCCGAGCCCCCTACCTCAATTGACAACTTAAAGACCGCCACGGCACCGTCGACGACGACGTCACCGGCGGCCAGCAGCGAGGTCGCGCGTGGAACAGCTGCACATGCGGGCCTGGACATGTTGATGGAGGGCGTGGCTGAGGGTTTTGCTGACGATATAGAGCTGGCGGCGCGGCGCATCGAGGCAGAGCAGTCAGCGGCCCGCCTCTCGCGCCAGAGCGGGGCTGGCCAATGAGCCTGGCAGTGACCCAGTGACTGAGCAGGTGGTGTACACTGTGCAAGGGCTGGCGCGAGTCTTGAGCGGGTTGAACGACGGTGCAGGACACACAGCTGGATATGCCGCCTGACTGATCGTACAACAAGCCAACCTGCCCCGGGTAAAAGCTCAAATACTGCACGATCTGCCTCCCAGGCAGTGAGGACCCACAACAGACAGTGACTGGAACAAAGTCTCAGCGCCATGCAACTGTTGCAGTCGTTCCTGCTAGTCCACCAATGGCTCAAGCCGGTGTTGCACCAAATGCAATAATGTGGATCAAGTTGGTGCAAAATGTGGCAAGATGTTCATTGGCCCGCGTGTCCCTGAGGTCCTTGGTGTCAACGTGAGGATCGCCGTCTTTTTTTCCACATCATGATTGTGCCCATGTTGCCGCAGATGAGCGGCCATTGCCTTGACTAACCCCCCAAGAGCTCACATGGAGCCAGTGACGCTGCATGGGTGACGGGCACCCTTGTGCCCTCATGTTCCACCCCACCCAAGATGTGCGGTTGATCAGATGTTCATTAACGACGCATAGGAGCGCCGTCCACCGCACTTTCAAGCTGCAAAGGCACTGAGCCCTGTCAACATCAATTATGATCTACCGGACCGCGTGGCCGGTCGTGCTTCTGGCTATCCTGTTGCAATGCTCAGTGGTGTGCCCGATGCGCGGCTTCCCGGAGAGGTCGTCCTTGGCTGAACTCCATGCTGACGCTTTCCCGCGGTGAGCACGGGGTTCTCAACGCTTGCATCAATGGATGACAACGGATCATTTCCGTGCAATGAGGGCTGCTAGGAAACGCGGGGCTCTTCAAGGGCAGGATGAGCGACGTGCGTGGTGCGCACGCTGCTCGTGCTGGCTGTGCGGCTACTGTGAGCATGCACCACGATTCTGCACGACGTCCATTCCTGCCACACCACTCCGCGCCGATGTTGGTGCGACAGGCCTGCTCACACCGAGTATGCTAAGATGTGCCGCTGGCTGGCGCACGTGTCGGAGTGGGGCACGCTCTCCACAGTGGACGCGGCCACAGGCACCCCCTATGGCGGTGTCGTCAGCGTTAGCGACGGCGCCGCAGACAACCCCACGGGCCGCCTGCTGTTCTACCTCACGCCGTGAGCAGTGATAGAGATACCTGAGTGATGGCAGGCCCAATGGTGTCCTGCTTCACCTTCAGCTATTGCACTCAACGAGCAGCTGCAGGTGTGCGTGTTCTGGCAGCGCCACTGGGTGCCACCTCGCTTGCATATACTGCCCTGCTTAATCCTTTTGCAGGATGGACAAAACCACGCAGAACCTGGCAGCCACCCCTGAGGGCCGCAGCGCATTGGTGCTGGCAGAGGTGCAGAAGCTGCCAGGTGGCTGTGGGGGCGAGGACCCAGAGGACCCTCGATGTGCCAAGGTGCGAGATAGGGGCCCCACGCACCGAAAGACGGAGTCCCTAGAGGGTGTCCAACCCTCGGATTGTGTATGAACTACTGTTCCTCGGGAAGGTGGTGGTGACTAATGGCAAGCCATGATGTGGTCGTGTCACACCAGACTTGACGCATCGTCAGCGTTTTTGCATCCTGACATACTGGGTGAGCGCTGATAATATGTGAGCGCCATCTCCTTCGCCCTCACCCCTATCTATCGAACGTGCAACGAAAACTGCGCAGGTGACTGTGATTGGCAGCACGCGGCCTGTGCCTCCTGAGGGCGTGGACCAGGCCATGGGCATGCTGGTGGCGCGACACCCCGTCATGGGTGCGCTGGGGGCAGCAACGTGGCGGCAGGGTGCAGAGGAGTGTCTGGGCGTGCTGTGTTGTGAAAAGCCATATTGTCATTTGCGGCGTGCGCGGACTGCCCCAAACGCCTCGTCCCCCCTCTCTTCATTCATGCGCCCACTCCTTCCATGTCCAAATCGTGATTGTTGACCCAGCCGACTGGCCAGCAGACCATGGCTTCCAAGTATATGAATTGCATATCAAGGAATTGCATCTGCTGGACTTCTTTGGTGGGTTTGAGGCGCCTTGGGGCACTGCACTCAAATCGTGCAACAAGGCGGCGCAACAGGCGCTGGCCACCCAGCTCAAGTCCCATGCGCCCTTCACCCATGCATCGACGCCAGCGATACATAAATCATATCACAGTTTTGCGGTTGACACATCAATCCTTTCCTCTGTTGCCACTGACAAATCTCTTGATCCCAACTCCATCCTACACCAGGCGGCCTGCACATCGTGTCCGCGGAGGACTACTTCGCAGCGGACCTTGCGCCGGCGCCCTCGACTGCGGCAGCAGCGGCATGAGTGCTTGAGAGGTTGCGATAGTCTGTGCGGGACATCGTTGTTGACAGTTGAGCGCCCTCTTGTGGACATCATTTGTTGTCATGGGCAGGGCGCCTCAGCCTTGCGGCCCGCCTCATACCCTCCCTCCTCCCCTTTGCTGCTGCTGCTGCTGCTGCTGCTGCTGCTGCTGCTGCTGCTGCTGTACATCAGAAGTGTCCACTTTTTCTGCTTTCTTGAGTTGGTGATGTTGGTTTTCTCACTGCGTATAAAATGAAATTGCAGGAGTAAGCCAGACATGTTTGAGAATCCTGTGAGACAAAGGTGGCTGGCGATTACGGGGTTGAGGTTTGGGGGAAATTCAAGCACGTGGCTGGCGCGTGCTGGATGCTTGGCCAATCGATATGCATCCTGCTGTCTCGTGCTGACCCCAGCCAAGGGGGCTCCTGGTTGCGATGTTGCATTGCTTGCGACACAGTTAATGCATGCGCTGGGCGTCTTCGGTGCGCGGGGCGCTCCGGCACCGCACGAGCGCGACCGTGCAGCGTGGTGGCGGCGCCGCAATAGTGGCCACTCAGTTCACGCATGCACTCTGCGCCCCACAACTCAGACCCCAAGCCAGCACTGGTCCTTTCCGCCGCCAGCACCACCCTCCAATTAATTGCCGGTTGGCTTGAATCATCCTGTCACGTGTGCAGACGGACTGCTTGTTCTCACTGCAGGGGACTGCTACGCAGCGTTAGCCGTGCGCGAGGGCCTGGGCACAGCCGCGGCTGCACAAATGCAAGCGCGATATTTGCGGTTGCGTGCTTGCACGCGCAAATGTTGGCACCATTCTAGGCAGGGCGTACCCAACTCCCCCCCTGGTTCTTCTGTTGTACACAACGACCTGATAAATGCAACAGTCATGAGTCGGATACCTCGGTGCTGATGACGCAGACAGCCTTAGCGCAGGCCCTATTGTGTGGGTTTGGGCGCAGCCACTGTAACAGGAAAAATGACCAACAGGATGCTGAGTGGGCAAGCACCCCCTCTAGCCCGCCGCAGCCAGCCTTTGATGCGGGTTGTACGTTGTGGGTGGTGGTGAGCGGCAGTGGGGGCCCAGCCTGTGCAATCCGAGGCAGCTTTGACCCAGCCTCGGAGGTTCGATTGCTCAATTGCGACTCGGATGACCCGACAACCTCCAAGATCGTGTAATTTTAGATTCAATTATGCAATAGAAACAGAGCGACATGGCGTGCCTGCGAAGCTGCGGGGGTGGTCACGACCCGTTGGCGCTCCGATTGGAGGCGGAGAGCCTTCTGAATGCCGGCCACTATGAAGACGCTATGCAGGCTTGCCGGCTGGGCATGGCCGCAGTCGCAAACCCGCACAAGCGGTGCGTCCAAGGCTGCGACAGCCGTGCCGCACCCTCCACTAGGGACCGCCGAGTGCGCGTGCACACACAACATGATCGGGGAAGCGCAGCCAACCCACACCACCCCGCACGCCGCGAATTGCAATCCCAACCTGCACGCGCCGTGTGTCGCAGGGACGCCTTGTTCCTCGGACTCTGCGACACCATCGCGCTGCGCGCAGCCGAGCGCGGCGACCTGGCCGTGGGGTTTTCAGGGCGGGAGCTGCTGGTGCGGCCAGCAGACCCTTCAGAGGCGTGGCTGGGGCTTCCGGCGCCGCCCGGAAATAACGACATGGCGCCCCCCACCCCTGGCCTGCTTACGGCCCCGACGGCGGGCGGAGGGGCGTGGGTGGGCGGCTGTGGTCCGGGCGCACCTTCCGCGCAGCTCCTCAGCTTCAGGAGTCTGGAGGACGCGCTCGAGGCGGCGGCGGATGGTGACGTCATCACGTTGATGCCGGGGACCCACAACGTGCGCTGCGGCGGCGGCCTCGCGCTGGCCCGCCGTGTGCTTATACGCGGCAGCCAGGGGCGCACGTGGGACACCAGCGGGGGTGTTACAGGCGGGGGGCAGCTTGCGGCGGTCGTCGACTACCGAGGCAACAGCCCCTTGTTCCGTATTTCCAGGTGCGCCTTTCCTCTGTCCTCTCATGGCCAGCCGCGATCCCCCGACGTATTTTCCCCTCCTTTCAAGTCCTCAGAAGCACGCTCACTGTGCAGCTCCAGGGCAGCACCCTTTCCTTTCTGGGGTTGACCACCGGCAGGGAGGACTCTTTTTGCAGCTCCTTCTAGCCTCCACACCAGGGCTCCCACCGCCTTGGCTGATCAACGTCATCACCTCCAAAACACACGCACGCTTCAAGCAGATCATGTGTTTTGGCTGGGTTTGAGGTGGACATGGTCGGCTTTGCGCCGTCCGTGCTGATCGGGGGCCCTGCCGCCGTCGCGCCGCTGCTGCAAGGGCTGAGGGTGGGCTGCAGCGGCGACGACGCGGTAGACGTCGCCGGGGACGCGCGGCCGCTGCTAGTCGGCTGCACGCTGATGGTACGCTACGGGAAGGAGGATTCAGTGCACGCTGCTTGCCGCTCGACGAGGCTTGGCAGAAGACGTGCGTTGTGCAAACCTGTGTTGTGGCTAGTGAATGGGCGGATACACGCCGAGCTTAAGGCCTCTGTCACTCTCGCAACATTTCGGACCCAGAATTTTTGAAGTGACAAACGCTCGCACACAACCAATGCAATGTGCAGGCGCGCAAGGTGGGCCTACGCGCGTATGAGCGCGCCCGGCCGTCGCTGCGCCACATCACCCTCAGCTCGTGCGGCGCACAGGGTCTTCTGCTGCAAGAGCGCGCCGCCGCGGCCCTGGACCGCTGCACGATCAGCGGCTGCGGCGAGGAGGGCGCCGTCGCGGCCGGTGAGGCGCAGGCCGAGCTGGCCGGTTGTGTGGTCGAGCGCTGCGGCGGCCCTGCGGTTGACGCGAGCGGGCAGGCATACGTAAGGCTGACGGGCTGCGACCTGCGCGGGTGCGTGGGCGGCCTGTGGATGTGGGACGCCGCTGTCGCGCACGTGGAGGGCACGCGCGTCGCGTCGGACGGCAGCTACGCGGTCCTGATGGACAGCCGCGCCAGCAGCACCTCTGGGGGCGGCAACCACGTGGACGGCCTCGCGTTCGTGGCAGAGGCAGACGGCGCCCCCGCGCCCTGCAAGCTGGCCGCCGCTGCGGCTGCTGCGGCGGCGGCGTCGTCCGCCGCGCGCGACGGCGCCGCGGCAGACGGCGAGTGGAGGGAGGGCCGCGGCAAGGGGGCCGGCGCGGGCGGCGGCGCGGCGGGGGCGTGCTTGGTGCAGGCCGGCATGCTGCCGCCAGACGCGAGGGCCGCAGCAGCGGCGTTTCCGCCGGAGGTGGAGCCGTTCGTTTTCAAGCCTTCCCCGTTCAGGGTGTAGGTGTTAGCTTTTGATGCAGCTGCGCACATCTGAGCTTGTCTGGGGTGAGATCAGGGTTGTTGGTATCACTCGTGACGATCTGTTAAGCATCCTGAGAGATTACATAAGAGCAAAAGTTGTGGCTTGTGCCGATGCACGAGCCTCGCCCGAGCGCGTCTGGCGCCTGCACGGCGCCGCGCTGCACGGGGTTGCGATTGGGTTGCGCCCGCCGACGGACCAGGCCGCTTTGCGCGGCCCAACGAGTGGTTGTACCTTCTTAATGAGTGCAAGTCCCCTTTGCAAGACACAATGAGTGCGCTTCGGGACAAAACCGTTTGATGGTGGGCACCGCCCCCAATTAGCGAGGGCAGAAGGTGAAGGGAGGGCGGTGAAGGCGACGCCGTCCCGGGACAGCCGCATCGACCCGGCGGCCGGCCGTATCAGATCATACGTCCAGCTCGGCCAGCGTGAGCCTGCTGCCGTACTCCTCTATGAGCTGCCGCCGGGGCGCCACCTTGTCGCCCATCAGCAGCGTGAAGGTGTGGCTGGCCTCGGCCGCGTCGTCCATCGTCAGGCGCCGCAGCAGCCTGGCGGACGGCGCGGGAGGGGAAGTAGTTGGATTGTTGAGGTCGGGATTATGAAGGAGGGGTTGGGAAGGTGCGACAATCATGCGGGGGTTCAAGAATCAAGGATTGAATGCAAGAAGCACAGATTGTGGAGGCTCTGAGATTCCAGGTCTGCGCAGTCATACCGCCCGCATCAGAATGGCGCCCCTCAGGCCAGTTCTAGCCGGATCCCCCACACGAACACGCGGCCCCCGCCGCGCAGCCGCCGCGCACGCACCTGCTGGCAGGGTTGAGGGTCGTGTCCCAGAGCTGCGTCGGCATCATCTCCCCCAGCCCCTTGAAACGCGTCACGGTGGGGGCGGCCCCGCCGCCCTTGGACGCCTCCGCCATCATCGCCTTCATCTCGGCGTCACCATAGGCCCACTTGGGGCCGCTGGAGCGCCCGCCGGCCTCGAGCCTGAGTGCGAGCACGCAGTTTATTTGGCCGAGGAGTCAGCTGTGAAATCTTGGGGCCGCGGACTGGACGGCTTGGGGGCGACGGCCGAGGCGCAAACCCAAGGAAAACCGGGGGCGGGGGCCGCAGGTGGCGAGGGCGGCGCGGGGGGTGCAAGGCAGGCAGGGGGGGGCTGTGGGCGGGGGGGCCCCGTGGTGGCCCCACCTGTAGAGGGGCGGCACTGCCACGTAGACTCGGCCCTGCTCAAACAGCTCCCGCCGGTACCTGGCGAAAAGACGGCCACACAGTGAGGTTGGGTGGGCAATCAGCAAAGCGTGGCGGGTGTGGATGGGGGGTGGAAGATCAAACACGAGAGCGGGGTGGTTGGGAGGGAGGCGCCCGCGGTGTGGTGGCGGCGGGGAGCCTGGGCTCGGACCAGGCGGCAGCCCGCAGCCTGCGGCCGGCGGTGGGGACTGATGGCCCTCCTGCGAGCGCAGCGGCCCCGTGTGCGCACACTTGAGCATGCACGTGTGCTGTGCTGTGCTGTGCTATGTGTGCGCTCTCACCGGAAGAGGAAGGTGAGCAGCAGCGTGCGGATGTGGGCGCCGTCCACGTCAGCGTCGGTCAGCAGGACGATCTTGCCGTACCTTTGGGGGTTGGGGTTAGGTGCGTTGGGCGGGTGGGAAAGGTGTCAGGCGGCTGCAAGGGTTGCTGGAGCGCCCTTTGCGCAGGGAACCTCCAGGCCAGTCGGCCAGTCTGTGCTCAGGAGCCCCCACTCTGGGTGCGACCCGTCCCGCACCACCGGCCAAAACGCTGCCGCCGCAGCCGGGCCGACGGCCCCCTCGGCGCAGGCGCACACGCGCCGCGTCGACGCACACGCGCGCCCCAACACCCACCGCAGCCCCTTCAAGACGTCGCCGCCCGCCGCCGCGCCCCCCGCCCCCGCCGCGACCCCCGCGTCCTCGTCCGCAGAACCCTGCCCGCTGCCGCCGCCGCCGCGCCCCGCGCCGCCGGCCGCCCCCTTGGCGTCGCCCTTGGCGCCCAGGCCCAGGGCCACAATGAGGGCCGCCAGCTCAGCGTTTTTGTAGAGGGCTGCGTCGTCCTTTCGCTCCACATTGAGGATC